TCCTCAAATGTCTATGTCAGCCCTGTTTTTAAAATAGTGGTTTTGTGTAGTGAACACAGACTCAGTAAAGTAGTAATGAGTGTTTGTACTGCATATTTTCTGTGTGTGGTGACGCTTGCCATGAAATTATAGGCTTTAAATACTAAAATTATTCCAAGAAGCACTGATACTAATAAATAAGCTATGACAGAAAGAAGATTCCCTCTATACGATGTCTGCCTCTATCTGATGATAGGCATGAAATGATGACCAGTACATGGTCTTGTTCTTTACTGGGTTACTAATGTTTTCAATTAATAAGTATATTATTTCCCTTAATACTTTAAGTACAAATTGTTTTAGTATTGGGGATGTGCAGGCTAAGAAGGAAAAAGAAAACTGCTGAGAGCAGGGATTGTTGTTAGTCCAAGAGGTCCTTGTATGTGGGGAAAAAAAAAGGCTTCCATCAGATTTCAGTATTCTCAAAGCAACATTAAATGACTGATGGCAAAAATAACACAGGACTCTCAAATTATGTTACAGCATTGGTTTCATCTTAGCAGGAAGACTGTTTGGTGTTCACTCTGTTCCCTTTGCTACCCTGATGAAAAAATTTTGCTTTTCACATGCTTTTTGCTAGCAGCTTCAGAACTTTATTCACACATACAGGAAATGAAGATACTTAATAGAGTTGTTGGGGTTTTTTTTTTTTGGGTGTTGTTTTTTTTTCAAATTGCAAAATTATGATTACTTAGAGAAAAATGTAAGGCCAAAATGTAAGATCCATCTGTTCTATCTCTACTCAAAATCAAGGTTTTTAATGGATCTCACAAATAAGGCTTTACACTTAAGGTCCAAAGAGGCCAAACTTTCACTACAGATTTCTCCTGTAAAGGGCTTACTGTATATTTATATAGGTAACATAGGAAGAAGAGCAGATGGAAGAAAAGAAAATGGAAGATGAGGGTCAGTCCACCAGTAATTGTACAACAGCTGGACATATGGACATGTTTCATCTAAAGTTATGATAAATATTATTTTAACATTTGAGTAATTACTCCTTTTGCTTACTACCACCAACAATATTGTCATTTGGCCTTTCAGCCTCTTAAACATTACATGCATGTGCGTGACTGACTGTTCCTAGGATTTTAGCAGCAAATTGTGGAAATAAGCTTTGATGAGGCATAATATTCAAATGGTTGCTTAATTTTCTTCAAATGCTGTGTTATCTGTTACCAAGGATATCAAGCAGTTATATGGCTGTGTATTTCCACGAGAAAAAAGGTCTGTCATGGGGCACAATAACTAGTCTGATTATCTAGTGATGAGGAGAAAAAAAATAATTATATTATTTGAGTGCTCTATTGTTAATGTTGATTGCTAATTGTTATAGCTAAGATCTTGCTTAATGTTGAATTTCATATTTTTTTTATTCAGGTTCCCTTTTTTGGTCCACTCTTTGATGGTGCTATTGTGAATGGAAAAATTCTCCCTATTATGGTTCGTGCAACAGCTATAAATGCAAGCCGTGCATTGAAATCATTAATCCCATTATACCAAAACTTGTATCCTTTCACTCAAATGGTTTCCAAGGCCTTTTTACATTCCCTTGCTTGTTCTACAGGTATGATCTTTATGTTGTGTGTCATTTTATATCTTTGTCGGTTTAACATAGGGAAAGTATTTTCAGTTTTTAGGACGATGGTGCCTTTAAGAAAATGAAGCCCATAGATTATAAGTCAGATGAAGACCAGCTTTTTTCAATTAAGTGAATAAGAGATTCAGTGCTGAAAAATTGCCTGTTTCTAATGTTTTATAACATGTGCTTATCACTTCTTGTTAAACCAAATTACTTGAATCACCATTTTGTACGTAGACTTTCTTAAATAGCAATGTCATGGTGCTAATAAACTTTCTTTCCTTAAATATATGTAGTATTTATCCAGTATTAATGTGACTTAATTTAGTTTTTTAATTCCAAGAAGGATATGAATGTTGTTTTCTCTCAAGATGAGAAAGTTGCTATATTTTTGTCATACAGATTTTGTTATTCAACTCGGAATACAAAGTTGTGGTCAAAATTAAGTTAGTGTAAGTTAAGTAAAGATGTCACGAAAAGGTTCTCCCAATTTAATTTTTTTTTGTTGGAACTGAAATTGTAGTTTTTTGAAAGAACTGCTCTTGGAAGAAGAGATTTACCAACCAGAATTTTTTTTTTAAAAAGGTAAGTCTGTCACTTCTTCATTTCTTGAGATTGAGTTCTGTTATAATACATCCATGAGTAAAATCAACAAGAACTTACTATTTTTTAATTTCACAAATTGATGGGTAAATTTGAATTTTGGTCCAAAAGAAATTATTTGCTTAATTTCCACCCAAGCTGTAGATACTTTTATTTGTCATGTGAGAAGATTGTTACTAAAATACTCTTTTTTTTCTAAGGCTGACTCAGAGTTTTGGATTAGCTATGATGAAGTGGATTTACAGATGAATGATGAATGGTGTTTGATATGATTACATTAAATGACGTTTATGCCATTTATGTAGACGACAGATGTTGATTAATTGTATTTTTATGTTTGGAAAGGTCCGATCTTTTTGCCATTACTCAAGTGGTTTAATCCAAGAATTTAAAATGTATTAGCATTGTTGTACCATGAAAAGTGATGGCTTATAGTATTAATTGATGTATAGTGATGAGCAATTGGAAAACTATTTACTTTGAAACAGCAAACTTTCAGTACCAAAAAGCCACACAATCTTTTATCTTTTAATTTCTTTACAGAATAATGGAAGTTGTAATAAATGCCTCTGACATAGTTTTCCAGCTCAGTGTCTAGGAATTGGCCAGTTCCTGAGGGCTGTGTAATGGCACATTCACTTTTAATTCTGCAAATTGTAATTTTATGTGCATTAAAGCATTGTAATTTATGATGTTTGCCTCCTTAATATGGTTAGCATGGTAACTAGAAAGTGTTACATATCTTTAATATTAGATATTAGATTGATTGGTGGGTTTAATATGATCACTTGGTAGGCTTGTGAAGCACCAGGTGATTGGGCATTGATATTAAAGGGTAGCTTTGTTAAGTAGTTGGTGAAATTCTTCTTTCACTTGGCTTGGAGTATCTTATATTCAGTGCTTTGTAAATATTGTAAGGAACTGCCCACACCCCTGTTTTAATTTTTAAACACTGTTTGCTTGGCATGAAATTAGAAGAGATCTCTACAGGCTTCCCTGGTTTGAATTAGGCTATGGTGGTGTCCGTTACGTCAAAAGCTCTTGATTGAAAATGTCATGGATGTGCTCTTGGTGTTCAACCCATGGCCATATTTGAGGTCAAGAAGGAGTTTTCCTCATACAAGAATTTTGAAGACTGGTAGGTGTTTCCTGTAACATGGACATAGTCTGTTAAGTAGGAATATTTGAAAATTAAATCTAACTATGTTCCTGCAAAAGCAGGGAATTGAACACATCAAGGATTGTCTTAGTGTCTTCCACTTTTTTCCTCTGGCATATTTTAGCTATGGATTTAGCAATTCACTACTGACTTCTAAGGTTTTTATGGACTAAAAGGCGTGGGGGCAGGAGTACTTTATGATCTGTGATTAAATGGCTTTTCTGGAGACCCCACCAACTCAATGTCTGTTGCAAAAGACAGGACTCATTGATCAAGGTGGTCTTTCCTTGGGCTGGAGTGTTTCTGGAGCAAAGAAGAAGAACGCTTGGAGTGGTGAAAACAATACATGGAAGAGGGAGGGGAAAAAAGAAACAGAAATGCTGTTTTTCTGTTTGGCATACCAAAAGGAGAGACTAAGCTGGAAAAGCGAAGCTGGTAATGAAGGCTTCCCATATGTTTAGGACCATAGTGGTGTCAGCAAGAAGAGAATTCAGAAGTAATCTGCTCAAAAATATTTTTTTTTTACTTTCTTACAAGTATCTAATATACTGTAGCAGTGTTAGTTTATTAGGAAATTCAATGATGGTTGGTAGAAGTTCAGCTTAATGTGAATATTGAGGAAACAAGAATATGTTCTTTCAAGCAGAGCACATTTCAAGCCCATTAGTCTCTTCATTTCAAACCAGCATCAGTGTACTGATGTCTCCATGTGTGATTTATTTCACTGTGCTGTGTAATACTTGGTGGGCACCTTTTGATGCCTTGTCGACTTGATGATGCGTAGGTCTGTGCTTAGCTATCTTTAAGAAATATCTACAATGTCATGTTACAGATCTTTGTGGTGAGGGTGGATCATGGTAAACTCTTAGTTAAATGTAGGACTGTGTTGATTTGCTTGTACATGGGATGTGAAGAAAGTGGCACTGAGTGTGGCCCCTCCATCCAAGGAAGTCTTTTCCATTCTCCAAGTTAGCGCATTTTCTAAGTGCAGACCTGACTGAAAAAATCAGCTGTCATTTGTAATCAGCAGGGATATTCAGTCCTCCTCATATAACCTGATTGCAACTTCTTCCTTATTGCTCTAGTCTGCTAATCACAATGTGGCAATGGGAGCACGTGTGAATAGTGTAATAATGGTTGCACGGATACAGGAAATTCTGCTCATCTCCCTTTTGTAGTCTCCCAGAACTTTGGGAATGTATTGTACAGTCTGAAGTAGCTTTCTGAGGCTGACATATTCTGTCATTCACCTTCCACTTTCTGACATGTTTTTGATACTTCTGATAGCAAACTTGGATAGCAAAGCATATTTAAGATTTGATTTTTAAATTATTTTTAAAGGTTTCTTCTGCACTGTTTTTATACTTTGCTCACTATATATATGATGATATGTTTTCGTATTGTGGCATTTTAAGTTTAGAAGTTCACTAAATTCATCAGCAAACATCAGTCTGGCATGGCAGGTATCCTGCTTTCACATGGTGCTTGACATTTTCATTGCTGCAGCTGCATGAAAATATTGCCATCATGGGTGGAGTTTCTGCACTGATTTGTGGATTTTGATTTTGTTTCCCCTTCAAGGATTCTGCAGTTCCTCACTATCTTTTTATGGCCTGGCTTTCTTGTAACAGTACCCCCTCACTAACAGGTGGCATAAATGCACATGGCAGGAGGTGACACATAAAATACTTGTGTTGTCTTGCTAATGAAGCAGCAACACCCCCTTCTCTATCTCATAGCTAATGTATTTCTTCTCATTGTGTTTGTTGTCATATGAAGTAGGTGCTTATCTCCTGAACACAATCCAGCTGCGCATATATATAGTAGGAAAACTTCTAAGACCCATAGCAGCAGATGTAATAATGGGACTGAATTTTCACTGTGAAACAGAATAAGGAGGCAAATATTTAGGGGATTGTTAAAGATGACTACTCATTTACTAAATTGCATTGACGTTCCTGGTTGAAATAGTATTATTCATGGCTTGCATGTCAGAGCAAGGACTTGATCACATTCTGAATACAGAATCTGTGATGTGTAGGAAGTGGTTCCATACTAAATATTTTGAAAAACAGAAGAAAAGGCTTCATATAAAAATGTACTTGAATTTCCTGAATAAACAACAGATGTTAGCCAGATGCCAAGAGGTACACCAAGATAGTGTTCTTTTCTGAGTCTAGTAAGCATTTCCAATAATCCGCCTTGTTGAAATTTATGTCATACAACAAAACAACTGAAACCTTGTGGGAGTGGAATTCCAACTGTGAAATGACTTCTGTTACTTTTTTACACATTGTACACAAATTTTTGAGTGTTAACAGTTATTCCAAACCATCTGTATTTACAGTACAGTTAGTGCAAATAGAGCAATTCAGACACCATAATACTTTCTCTCTTATGTAGTATTCCCCTCCCGAAAGATGCTAACTACTGTTTAGCTGGAAACACAGCAAGAAACTGTGTTTAGCATCTTTTAAATCTGAAATTGGTTGAAATTTCAGAACACCTGGAGTATAGGTGTTCTAGGTATATGAACATCATAGCATAATTTTCACCTTTTTATAATACTACACAAAGTTTTGACCTAATGCCAAGAATTCTTCAACCAATTAGATTATTTTTTTGGTTTAATATGAAATAGTTTAAGTGTCAAAAACATAATGCTATTTTAATTATTCCATCTACAAAATACTGCAGAATACATCTTAATCTAAATTATTTTATAAATGTTTTTTTTAATAATAAAAACTGGAAAATTTACATCCCCTATCTTTTTTGACATTATATTCCAAACATTTGGTACTTGCTATACTGTAACTGACTTTTTCAGACAATTGTCTTCAGAGAGAAGCTATTAACTCCAGGTGGTATTGACAAGACAATAACTTCTTTTTGAAAAAAATAATGTGTTTGAGTGTTTTGTTAAAAGTTTCTTCTGTGTTAAAAACTCATAGCTTAGAAGAAGCTCACTTGTTTGATGTGATACTTAACTGCCCCAATAAAGGGTTTTATTGGAACTGGTAGTGTCACTGTTGAATGTGCTTGACCATCATCTACCTCAAGATAGAGCTGCAGACATTGGAAAGTAAGTGCTTGTTATTAGTGACACACAGTGAGTAAAGAATATTCTTCAGATTCTTAGGCCACATTTGTCTGATTTAATT